ACAAAAAAGGTATTATATTTTTTTTCATAATAATGATGAACATAATCACTATTCACATTCATTCATATTCTGTTACTATTAGTCTTAAGGTGAAGAGTTAGTGATATCGCAAGAAAATGAGGGTGGTCATCCTCATTTATTGTGGTTGAGAATTAATGTGTCAAGACTTATTTATTTATTATATTAAAATTAGTGTTTGTTTGCATTTTATGAGCTGCCATACCATTCATAAAATTACAGTAAAACTTTGCCAAGTTATTGTTTACATTTGTGCGAAGGTTATAGGCATAGTACAATTAAATTTACACTTGGTGGCACGTGTTTGGTACTGACAAATTTATTTGAAACTTTCATCATTCAATTTTAATGAATAAAACTATAAAATTTAAAACAGTATTTGCACAATTATTCTTCTACAGTAGGAACATGCCAGGTATCAGCTAGTATGTAATAAAACTTTGCCTTTATTTTCAGTTTTTTTTTAAATCTCAACATTCATTTAATAACTGTGAAGTTCCAACTCATTCAACCCTCATCATCAAAGATGTATAGCTGCTTTTTAACATATCATTTTTTTATCATCACGCAAGATGTATCGGAAGTTATAGGGTTTATCTGGCATTTCCAACAGTCGCCTTTTTTGACATGTACGGGATGAAATGAGGTGATGCATTCTCATATAGCACCACTGCAAAGGACTTTAAGGAAAATCTTCTCTACAAGTGGTTGATAAAGAAGATGAAAAAATAAGGTATTTTCTTTTAAAAAATGTACACATCATACTATCATAATACCTTAGAATGTTTACTTTGGGACATTGTCAACTGTGAATAGTTTTGTCTTTAGATTACAGACAATCTAATTTTATAAAAAAAAAATTAACTCATTAATTAATTGTCAGTCTGTTTAACAGTTTTTCTAAATGTAATTGTGTATAATCAATTGTAGTTCATTTTCCATTTAGTTTCAGCTATGAATAAAACATCATTACAATATGTTATGAAAAAACATAAGCATCTGAATAAACAGGTTAGGAAATTAAAAAATTAAATAAAACACTTTAATATTAAGGAAAAGATTATAAAACACGTCTTACAAATGCAGAAAAACTTTTGCTTCATCAGCCTTTCAAAACATAGCCAAAGATATGACTTTACCAGGCAAAATTTTCACAAGCATGCAGTATCAGCAGGCTCTTAAGAAAACAAAAGGCAGACGTTTTAGTATCGAAGAAAAGATACTTGCTTTGTCACTTTTTAAAAAGATCCCCAAATGTTACTCCCACATGAATAAATATTTTAAACTACTATCTCCAAAGTGTCTGAAAAGTTTATTGGATGACATTAAAATCAGACCAGGCACATATAATATGTATTATATTTGTAAAATTCAAAGAAACTGTTGCTGGCATGAATGTCGAAGATGGTCTGCGTTCATTGATATTTGAAGAAATGTCCTTGACTTCACATATGCAGTGTAATTCATCCAGTGATGAATTTAAAGGATTTGCATGTAATAATGCCAAAGAACTAAAATTTGCTAATCATGCCCTTGTGTTCATGATAAAGAGAATAAAAATGAATTATAAACAACCTGTGTGTTATTATTTTACACAGAGTCTGAATAAAATAGATCTAAAGAAGATTTTAATTGAAGTCATTCGCACAGTTCATTCTACAGGCCTAAAAATTTTGTGCAAAGTATGTGACCAGGGTGTGTCAAATGTCAGTGCAATATACAACTTGTCCCAAAATTCAACGACAAACGGGCACCAGAAGGTGGATCTGCTCATGACTACTCGAGAAAAAATAAAAAAAAATCTAAATCGTTTTTGAAATTACAAAAAAAAATTAAATTCTTCAAAAATCAATACCCCGATATGGTATTTTTAACTACAATGACCACATTTTAATTTTTTTTGTATTTTTTTGTATCGGCAACCTTAGTAGTACTGCTATCTACCACAACCCTTATAAATCCCAGAATACATGTAGTTTTTACACAAAAATCAATCAAAATTATTTTTTCCCCTAAAATTTTGAATTTTTTTATTTTCAGTGCACTTTCACTCATCGTGGTGTAAAAAAAAAGTACTGACACTACTATGGCATGTTTTTTAAAAATTGACGCAACTAACCAAGATTCTAAAATGGTATAAATACTCTTGGAAAACTAGCCACAAAAAAAGGTTTTTGTTGCAAGTTCTTAGAACTTGAATTGGAGATGTGCGTAGTCAGTAAAATTTAGAAGTTAGAGAGAGATAGATAGAGGGAGACTATACGTTAGAGAAAGATAGATGATGTTCATTGTTTAATAACAATAGGGCAGGTAGACAAGTTGTTTTAGTGTTCTCAACAAGTCAGTCAGTACACTCTGCTCCTTTGTTTACTGTGTACCGTTCCGTATTTAATTGATGTGGCTCTCGTACTAACGACTTTTGGCTTCGCTTTTTGGACTGGTGATCTGTAAACTGAACTGACCTGGCATTATTTCGGACTGTGATTGTGTGTTTTGTGAATGGCAATGTTCACTGCCGATTTCTCACGCCAGATGGCATATCATCGACATGGCCATTGAGAACTGTCAGATCCATACATTTAATAACTTACCATACTGTTAATTTTAGTTTTCTCGAAATATGCCTCTTTGTGCTGTACGAGGATGCGCTAACCCCGGTGTACATTTATTTCCCAAAGATCCAACATTAAAAAAAATGTGGGAAAAGGCTATGACGCAAATATTTTTTAGCGACACAGCATAGCAGGTTATGTCGGAATCATTTCCAAGAATCTGATTATGTGTGAGAATCAGCCTACACCGGTATGTTATTTTGTGTTTATTTCATTTATTATTATTACTTATAGATTCTACTAGCGGTTTCTCGAAAGTTGAACCACTTTGCAAAGACCACTTATATAGACACTTTATTTAAATTTTTGCGAACAAAACCCCGGGTAAAAGTTAGGAAGTAAATAAACCAATAATGAACCAATAAAATAAATAATGTATGTAATGTATGCCTCTATACATCAGATTATGTTGTGTTAAATTCATAAAATCTATTTCACTCATGTAGATGTATACATTAAAGTTATTTGAATAATTTAAGGTAATCTGTACTATTTTTCTCAATTTTTGTTGTTTACAGGACATCCTCAAATATGCAAATTTCTGAAAAAGGGAACTGTACCAAGTATACTCCCTTGGTCCACCCAGGTGTCAACAACACCTACATCAAGAACCAGTCGATATATGAAAAGAAGCAGACTGATAATTGATTTCAGACAACCATCTATAGAAGAAGGTATTCCAGAACCATCTTCTAGTGCTGATATTGAAATATCTTCTATAGAGGGCTCCTTAGAAGATTTTACTTCAAAAACTGTGTCTGTTAGCACTCAATGTGGTAGTTCTTTCGGAATTTTATCACTAGAGGCCATGAGAGGCAATCCGCAGGTTATTCATTTTATACTAGGCTAGAAAAATATGAAAAATTCATGTTGGTGTTAGACACATTAAGTCCCATGTGTAAAAATTTAAATTACAGGGGAATTAAAGTTATCAGTGTTCGTATTGGTGACCAACTGTTGATAACACTAATTAAGCTGAGAAGGTATTTGCCAGATTTTGAGTTGGCATTTTTATTTGGTATTTCCCAAACTACTGTTGCTAACATTTTTATAACATGGATTAATTTTATGTATGAATTATGGTCTTTAGTTAATATTTGGCCAAGTAAAGAATCGGTTCAATATTATATGCCAGAGTAATTTAAAAGGGGTTTTCCAAGTACAAGGATTATTGTGGACACAACTGAAATACCCATCACACGGCCTGGGAATCCAGTAGCACAGCAGGTGACCTTCAGCAGTTACAAACACAAAAACACTGTGAAGGCTATGATTGGAGCAACACCTGGAGGTCTTATATCATATGTCTCTGAATGTTACGGAGGTTCAGTCAGTGATAGACAGATCATAGAAAGATCCAAACTAATAAATGTGTGTGACAGTGGGGATTCTATCATGGCAGACAGAGGGTTTAATGTTTAGGAAATTTTTGCATCAAGAGACATTACTATTAATATACCAATGTTTTTGAAAGGAAAAACACAATTACCAGGTATTAGAATAATTCAGGATCGAAAACTAACAAGCAAACGAGTTCATATAGAACGTATTATATAGGTCTAGCTAAATCATATAAGATTTTAAAAAGTGAATTGAGCCCTTATCATGTACCGCTAGCATCTAGAATTTTATTTGTTTGTGCTATGGCTTGTAATTTTAGAGAAAGTATCATGAAATAAAAGCTTTTTTTACAACTGTTCATATATTTTATTATAAAATCTTAAAAAACAACATAAACACGCCTATTATCCAGAGGGGTAATCAGAGACTACAGACTACCATTTGACACGATCCTAACACACCTCTCTCACCTCCTTTACATCCATATACATACACTCATACATGCTCGTTGGTTACGGGTACTGCTAATCTGGCCCATTTTCAATATATTGCCAATTTGGTTGATAAACCTTAGTCTAGGATGTACCTTACCGACTCTGCTGTTCACATCTGCAATATCTGATTTGCTTTGTCACTCCTTGTTCATACATAAACAAACCACCAAAGCATTCATTTCTTAATCCTGGTCACAGCATCATACTTTAAAACACATTTTTCTCTTATCACACAATGTCTCACCCTGTCATTCAGATTCAGCCCTAGCATACTCCCATATATTATAAAATCTTAATCCTTAAAAAAACATTTTTTGGTTACAGCATTTTTAAAGAAGTTGTAAAAAAAATAATCAAGTTTTCTCAACATATCCGTAATCAACTGTTTCATCACGTTCAATACATATTACTTTTAAACTTTTATAGGTAAAAACTAATAAATTACAAAATCTTCTTTTAGTTACATATAATTGCCTTTGAATTTGATAGTAATAAATATTAGTTTTTTTTTTTTAAAGTAAGTTGTCCATTGTCATCAAATTGTAGGTAAGGTACTGTAAGAGGACTGATTTCTTGGTTTCTGGAAGGATAAGGACATTTTGCTTCAATCATTGTTTCTGATCCTAGTAAGCCATCTGGAGATGCTCCTAGATAAGGTCGTTCCTGAGACAAAAACAATCCACACTCTTCAACAACCACCCCATAAATCTCCATATATTTTAATGGCTACTTTTTCATTAATCATTCCATGTGCTATCGCTCTTGTTTGTACTAGATTTTTATTTAATATTTGGTTACAATATTTTACTAAAGTTTCACTTTTCAAATGGCACAGTGTGAAATATACTTGATGTAATGCGGGTTTGTCGATACTCATACCACTTTGGATTGGAACTTTGTCCTCTAGTCTCCATTTGGATTTCCACTAATCTTTTTTCAGTTAAATTTAGTAAATGAATGGATTTAAAAAAATATCCTGTGCACTTTTTTCCATATATTTATGATCTAAACATATTGCACGTTGGTTAGCTGCTGGAAATAATTGTTTTAAGGGCATCGATGAGTGTGGATTATTTTAAAATCAGGGACTGAAACCTGCATTGCAATGCCTTTTTATCAAAATAAGGGTTTTGTTTTAAATATGGAGAGTAAACAATGTTATGTATATCCCTTTTGGATGGCAATCTGGAGGCTCGCAATGGTGTGGCATAATATTTTTTGTTGGCTTATGAAACGTTTGAAGTTGTGATGTCGAAACTTCATGTATTATTTTTTCTTTAACAATATTTTAAGCAGCAAGAAGTACCACAGCTACATGTTTACAATGGGCTTCTTTGCCTTCTCCTGCTGCACATTCACATGTTGCTTCTTAGGGCATTTCATCATTATTTAATTTGATGTTTACCTCATATTGTAGTTGTTTCATAGATGCCTTGCAAAAACCTGGAAGAAGTATTTATATGTTCATATTTAAAAGACAAATATATTACACATCAATTTTATTTAGCCTAGCCATCTATTTATTTTTGATACATCAACCTTTATTATCTGGTGAACCTACCTTTTAAGTATGTATCTTCAACAAATGTTGTTGATCGCAAAATAAGAAGGTATCTCGATTCATACAACTTTACAGCATCACTGATATTTCTATTGAATCTGAAATAAAAGTATTATGTTAAATATCAAGAGAAAGTTTATAACCACAATTTAATAAACTTAGTGGACAAATAATCTTTAATATTTACATAAAACGTTAGAAACAATTATTACCTACCTATCAAAATAACATTGAATATGTTTTTTTGGTAATCTTTTGCAATATCGTGGAGCTATTAACGTCCTGGTACAGTTCAACAGCAGGAACATCAAATACTTGACTTTGAGAAGCTTTGATTGCCGAAATTAAAATTTCGGTCATATGATTCTAACCTAAAAGAAAAAATACCATTTATCATTAGAGTAATGTTCTTTGATTATTCGTAAATTTTCCTAACATTAATCAAGAAATAATTAACACGTTCCAATCAAAACTAGCTCCAAATCTTTAACATGTATATAAGTGTACAGTTTTATAATATTTTAGTAGATACAAGCCTACCTCTCAACAAGATCTGCTTTCTTTCCAGCTATCTTCGCTCCTCGTTTTTTTAGTTCGTCTTTCAATTCTTTAAGCTTCCAGGTACAATATATCTTAAAATTATCGATGGTTAACCAGTTTCAATATAACGAAAAGCAAATTCTCTTTATGTAAAGTATTCTACAACAATTTGACAGCAGCCATGGCGCCGCTGGTGCCCTCTACGATTAGCTTTGCATGTGGATCCCCATTGAACTATTGGCGTATTTTTGGACTGTTTAGCGTTTATCATGCCGCTACCGTACACACCGTTGGAATACGCTAATATGCATCTTATTTATGGAGAATGCCGATGCAATGCTAACGCTGCTAGCAGATTGTATCGATAAAGGTACCCAAATGCTCAAAGATAACTTGATTATCGAGTATTTATTAATGTGCATCAAGTGTTTGCGGAGGGTAGTTTACATTCTGCCAGGAGAAACGCTGGAAGATCTTGATTGGGACGCGATGAAGAAGTTCTCAATGAAATAGAAAACGATTCGACTACCTCAGTACGTGCCATAGAACTAGCAACGGGAATCCCAAAAAGTTCTTCGCATCGAATTCTTAAACGTTACAGGCTTCACCCACACCACTACATGCGCGTGCAGACGTTATTACCGCGGGACTATCCACTACGGGTCGCATTTTGCCGTGTGATGCTGTAAAAGCACAGGGAAGATCCCCAATTCTTAGATAAAGTTCTATGGTCGGATGAAACAACCTGCAAGAAAAATGAATCTTCACAACTTACATAGTTGGAGCAATGAAAATCCGCACCCGATGAGACAAAACAAATCCCAATATCAATTCAAGATTAACTTACGGACGGGCATATTAAATGGAAAAGTAACTGGGCCCTTTGAGTTACAAGGAAACTTAGATGGAAATAGTTATTTGAACTTTTTACAAAACGACTTGCCAGAATTATTAGAAGACGTGCCTTTGCGTGACTTACAAAACGTGGTTTCAAAATGATGGTGTCCCAGCTCACTATGCCCGTCTTGTGCGAGAATATTTAAACCAAGAGTACACAGGACGTTGGATGGGGCGACTTGGTCCTATCTTATGCCACCCCGTTCACCCGGCCTAAACCTTCTGGACTTCTTCTACTGGGGTTGTCTCAAAGATAAGGTTTCCTCAAAACCCATTTCAACATTGGATGAACTTCGCCAAAATATCACTCAGACTGCGGATCATATCAATGATAGAAGATATTCACGACGAATAAAAAGCTCTTTTTAAGGCGATGCCACGCGTGTATTAATGCCGGTGGCCAACAATTCGAACATTTACTGTAATATTAATAATGCAAACAAAATAAAATAAATGTAAATATTTGTACCCTTTGTTTTGATTCATGCAACATTTTTCAGCAAAAATCCTGTGCCACACAGAAGTTTTTCTAGAGTATTATACCATTTTAGAATTTTGGTTAGTTGCGTAAATTTTTAAAAAAACTTGCCATAGTAGTGTCAGTACTTTTTTTTACACCACGATGAGTGAAAGTGGACTGAAAGTAAAAATCTTTCAAAATTTTAGGGGGAGAAAATAATTTTGATTGATTTTTGTGTAAAAACTACATATATTCTGGGATTTATAAGGATTGTGGTAGATAGCTAATACTAAGGTTGCCAATACAAAAAAAATACAAAAAAAAATTAAAATTAAAATGCTCATGGTAGTTAAAAATACCCTATCGAGGTATCGATTTAAGAAAGAATTTAATTTTTTTTTTTGTAATTTCAAAAACGATATAGATTTTTTTTTCTTTTTTTTACAGAGTAGTCATGAACAGGTCCACCCTCTGGTGCCCGTTTATCGTTGGATTTTGGGACACGTTGTATAGTCTGGTTGAAGAAACCAGAGGAACGGGAAAGAGTGGAGACATGATTAATTTGAAGTGTATTCAAAACTTACTATCCCGTTATATGATGTTCCACGCGTAATAAAAGGCATCAGAAATAATTTTTCGTTTTAGTTCTGAAGTGCCAGAAGAATGTAGGATTTTAATACTATTTGTATTGTTTCTTGACCAATTATTTGATAGCATAAATGCTGGAACTTTTCACATTCTTTATGGAAAAATATATAGGGGAGGGATCAAGAAAAACTCTCTACACAAATTGCGACAAGAAAGCTTAAAATTTTTATATTCAATGAAATTTTTAATTACAAAAAGAGGGTAATAATCCTGCTAATGCTTACTGTATTCAGTAAGCATTATTTTAGAAACATGTGCATCATCCATAAAAAATTTATAAAGACTAATGAAGATATGCAAGTCCTGTGAAATGTTCTAAGTAAGGAATATAATTTTGACACTGCTTACTAGACATTTTAACCAGGACCCAGTGGAAAATTTTTTCGGTGATATAAGGAGTTTGGATGTACGAAATATTGGGTGCACCAAACGCTGCATGCTTTGAAGGTGCATACAAAACCCTACTTTTAAATAATTTCGCTTCTGCACAATCAGTAAATGCTAATTGTGAAGCCGATTTTAATAATTGTTTAAAAACATTAGAAGATAAAGTAAAAAATTGCTTAATTCAGAAAGTAGTGAAATTTAAATTATACAACTTTCTCATGCAAAATGGTAATAAAACAAATGATACAGTACCAACAACCAACCAACCAAGCAGATATGTTTGTGCCTGGGTCCTGACATGTTTAAAAAAGATAAAAGGTTGTTAAATATGTAAAACTAATTTAATTGCTGATAAAATTAATCAAAATATTGAATACATTAAGAATAAGGAATATTGTCAAAATAAGCAGTGGCTTTACTACCCTTGACAACCAACCAACCCAAGACAATGTTGCTCATTGTTTTAATGAAGTACAAGACATTATTGCCCAGTCTTTAAGATGTAATTTAAAAGTCAATAATTTTAAATCAGATTTAAAAATGTTAGTAAAAACTATTGTTATTTTTCCTCTTCAATTGTGAACTTCACAAAGAAAATCTTAAAAAATACTTTTAGAAGGATCAATTAATACGAATATTATAATTTATAGTTTGTGCAGATCTATCAACAGAATTTTGATTGGCAAGCTAACTTATGCTGATAATGAAGACCCTCTAAAAATGAGTGCCCAAATATAAAAATAAGTTTTTAAAGCTTTATTGTATACATGATTTCTGTGTACCTATTAACCTACAATTATAAACAATAAAATAATAATTGTTTTATTGATGTAAAACTATTAGACGTATTTCATGAAATTTCTCTAATTGTTCCATTTCAACTTTCTACTGATGTATCTATGTTTAGCTAATCTTACTCTTTCATGTTACATATTGCTTTAAAATATTTCTAATTATTAGTAGCTAAACAATGGTACATTCGTAGAAAATTGAAATGGAAATAGTATCGATTTAATATGACGATGACGATTTAAGATGACGGCTCCGTGGCGAAGTGGGTTAGCAATGAGTTAAAGCGCTTAGGGCCGCAGGTTGGAATCCCGCACGGAATAAGTATTTGTATGACCTACAAGTAATTGTTTCGGGTCTGGATGTTTGTCCTTGTGAAATTTATGTCTGTAAATTGCCCACATGATACAGGAGAAAATCTTAGTGTGGAGATAACGTTTTTAAAAAAAAAATTAATGAAAAGGTAATAATATATACGCACACACATTCAAACAGCATGCATGTGCTCGTGGATTTGAATATACATACACACATACGCATAATAGAAGTAGCGTAACACTCACCAGATGGCGGTCTTTCCAAGGGGCTATCAGTTTTACTCGCAAGAGGGTTCTCTTTGCAGTTCCGTTTGCGCACCCCTCTCGAGTGGTCGTGCTAACAGTTCGCGCTCCATCCCCGTGCGGAGTGCACCTTCTCGCTCGCGCGCCTCCGCTCTCCCGCTCACACCGGCCGAGCAGTCGCCGTTGGTGAGTCTTTTGTTTTTCGCACCCGTTCTTGCCCCCTCGCTTCGGCGAGGAGGTCTGAACGCGCTTGCTTTTATTATTTTATTGTTTAACTTTCTGTTACTGTTTTTTTTTTTGTTAAATTTTTGTCCTTGTTATCTTGTATTATGTAGTGTTATGCTACTTACATATCATTTTACATTATTTTAAATTTATTTTTCATTTCTGTTTTTGATGTTCTGCATTCGCCTCAAAACTTGATATTTTGCATCACCTTTATTTCCATAGGATCCTGTAATATTTTTAATTCATAAGAACACAATAACAAATCATTTTCACTTCGTATTTTCATGCTATCAGCACTTTTTAAATCGGTGTCAATGGAGTCTACCTTTTTCGGTCTTTTATTTAGTTCTCCGTAACTCTGCAATTTCGGGTTTCGTGCGCGCTGTTGCGCTACCTTTTTTCCTATATAAATAATATCTCATTTTTCACTTAAATCTTGCCGTTTCTGTATTACGAGCCTAAAACCAAAATTTGACATGTTTTGACATCGTTGTTTATCTGGTTGTCATGGCAATTTTTATTCAAATTCGTTACCGGTCAGATGTTTTTCTTCAATATTTTCACTTAAATACTCTTTTCCTCTTGGCCATTTACAATGTAGGTGTGCTGCGCACACACATGTAAACTTCGCAATGTTGTATTGTAACTATATTATGTAGTGAATAAGATTTTTCAACCAGTCACTAGTTGCCCGCCAACTGTATGGCACGTTCCGCTATAATAAATATATTAGTAAAAGATTTCATCTTTCATTATGGTCACCAATAGGCACCCATATGGAGTCAGCTCCTAAAACAAGAATTTGCTTTTAATTTAAATAATTTCAAATTTAATTAGAATAATTTCCCGTTCTTATCCCAGATCCGTCAAAAAGTGAAAAAGCCGAACAATCGGCGAATGAGGAGTCTGACTTCAGCTTTCATACTTGAAGCACCTCCTAATGGCCTGATCCGCACTGCCTCGGGATCCTGCAAGCCTCTGCCTTCTCCTGAAGTCGTCGCCTAGCCACGCCTACGCCTCCACCTACTAGTGCCCGCGCTATCTCCGGGCGCTGTGTGTGCCTACTAGTGCGCTGTGTTTGCCTACTTCAAGCGCCGCGTGTACCTACTTCAGACGCTGCGTGTCTACTCCAGACGTTGCGTGTACCTACTCCAGACGCTGCGTGTCTACTCCGGACGCTGTGTGTGTCTACTCCGGGCGTTGTGTTTGCCTACTTCAAGCGCCGCGTGTACCTACTCCAGACGCTGCGTGTCTACTCCGGGTGCTGCGTGTACCTACTCCGGGCGTTGCGTGTGCCTACTCCAAGCGCTGCGTGTACCTTCTCCAGACTCTGCGTGTGCTTTCTCCAGACTCTGCGTGTACCTAGAGCAGGCGCTGTGCACCTACCATAGGCATAGCCTGTGCATACTTCGTTGCAGTATCTTTATCTTTGTTATTTTTTTTTTAAAATATTGTAATTCACTATCATCATTACAGCCCATCATCACCTTCATACCTTTTTTTATAAAAGAAACTGTAAATCTTTTCAAATTTTAAACAAATTATTTTCTTTTTGGTTGTTTCGTTGTAGTTAGGTTAGGTTCTTTAGTTTTTTAACTGTCGCTTCACGACAATTATTATTGTTATAATTGTTACGTGTATATTGTTTGTGTTCTAGAAAAACGTCCCTTGTCCTTTTGAGGGCAAGGCCTCGTTCTTCTCAGAGCAAGTGTTGTTTCTTTGAATAAACGTCACTCCACCACCTGTCCACCCAACATGTCTAACTTAGACCTAATAAACCAACTTGCAAGCCTACTTAAGGCTACGGCCGCCCAGTTTCTTCAAGCCCAAGGCGTAGCCTTCAATGGCGACGAGACCATTCTCGCCAACGCCGTTAGTAATGCCTTCACTACTGCCCTTATAAGTAAACCACACAACTGGCGGAACACCCGCGGGCAAGAAGTTGGTGGGCGCGGAGGGATTTTAGGGAGTTTCGCGCGGGCGCGCGGCAGGGAACTCGAGTGACATTTTTCAGTGCGCTCGCGGATTTCGCAGCGGGTAGTGGGTTAAAATTAGGAAACTAGAAGCATTTGAAATGTGGATATATCGCCGTATGCTCCGAATAAGTTGGACAGACAAAGTTACCAACATTGAGGTCCTCAAACAGATGAAAAGGAATGAACCCCTACTTGTCAAAACCATCAAACAGAGAAAAGTTGCGTACCTAGGACAGGTGCTAAGGCATGAACGTTACTAACTGCTGCAGACGATTGTGATGGGCAAAGTAGCGGGTAAAAGAGGTGTTGGTAGAAGGAAAATGTCGTGGCTATGTAACATCCGGAAATAGACTGGGATAAAGAAAGTTGAAGATCTGTTCAGGCTAGCCATGAACAAAGAAGAATTTAGAAAGATGACTGCCGACCTTCAGTAATGGAGAGGCACTTAAAGAAGAAGAAGAAGTGGGTTAATTGGTTACGGACGCTCGGAACAAAACGCACACGAGATTATAACCCAAGATGAATGCTGAAGATGGACGCTCTAAGATTTTGCCAAGCAAATTAATAAGCAAGCGAAACAATTGGTGTACAATGTACATTCTTTCTTTAAACTAAGAAGACAAGATCAATCGTCTACGGAATATCAACAAGACGTAAACTTGAATAAATTGGTCGTGCAAGCAACAGGAATATCTTTAACATCTGTGAGTAAATTTGTCAAAGAAGGACATGATCTAAAACGCGAACAAAATAGCGTGGTTTTTAAATCCCCCAAAAAAATAAAACAGGTACGAAAGAAAAATATTGAAATAGATAATTTTACAGTAGAAGTAGTGAGACCAAAAATAACTCAATTTTACACTATTTACAATAGGGTTCCCACATTAAAAACATTAAATGCTAAAGTTAAAGAAGAAAAAATTTTAAATTGCGGTCGAGAATATTTGACACTATTACTGCACAAACTTGGCTTTAAATTTAAAAAATGTCAGTCGAAGAGAAAGATGCTTATTGAACAACCAAACATTGTTTCTTGGCGATGGAAATATCTGAATGCGATACAAAAACATCGAAGAGACAAGAGATCCATTGTTTACCTCGATGAAACATACGTCAATTCCTCCTTAAATGTTCCATCGTGCTGGCAATCAAAAGAAGAACGTGGAGTGCTGGCTCATATTGGCAAAGGACCGAGATTAATTATTGTACATGCAGGAGGACAGGCTGGATTTGTTGACGGAGCTCTTTTAATTTTTAAATCAAAAACTAAAACCGAGGACTATCATTCGGATATGAATTTTGTAAATTTCAATAAATGGACAAAAGAAGAATTATTGCCAAATTTACCTTCAAGATCTGTAATTGTTATGGATAACGCCGCGTACCATTCAGTCCAGGAAGACAAAAAACCAACGATGACAACACAAAAAACAAAAGCATCGATGCAGGCTTGGCTGCAATGACATAATGTGGAATTTGACAGTTCCTTGAGAAAATGTCACCTGCTCAAGTTGATCAAACAACATGGATCTGAAAATGTTTACAAGATTGATGAAGTGCTAAAAGCTGCAGGCCACGAAGTATTAAGACTTTCGCAGTATCAACCAGACTTAAACCCCATAGAGCTGGTTTGGGGGAATATCAAGGGACAAATTTCGAGAAACGAACTTGACAGTAATTTAGATAAGAATAAAACTGCACTGGAGAAATTATTTAGTAAATTTCTAGTAGAAAAATGGGTAGCATGTGACACACATGTCCAGAAAATTGAAGATGAGTACTGTCAACACGATCGAATACTCGAGAACGCTATGGACGAAATGATAATTAATTTACAATATAATTCTGACTCGCCCAGTTGCACTGATAGCGAAGACGGTAATTCAAGTGATATGAATATTGACATTATCGCGGAGGAAAATGTATAATAATTATTAAAATAAAATTATAAAAAATGGTTAAGTACTGCTTTTCCAAAGTGTTTTGCTTAAAACTTAATAAATATTTCTGATATAAATCATTGTCTTATTTATATTCATGTACATACCAGTGCTGCACTAAAAGTATCGGGAATGGAATATTTCCACTGTTCCTGTCATATTAAAATCTTTTTAATTGAAAACTCCTTGGTTTTAAAAATCGAACTTATGAAGAACAAACTTACCAGCAAAAATAATTCCTAATATGCATTTTTGTTAGAGGTGGTAGGTACAGGTAACTTAGTGCAGCTATTTATATCTCGATATGTGTTTGACTCTGGAAGGTTTGTGTAAGATCTTCTTCATCTTGACTCTCGGTGTTCCCAAAATTAAAATTTTGGTCATACAATTAAGGTTGCTTTTAGCTTGTCACACAAATTGTTTTTGTTGGGTATTTTCGTTATTCTTTTAAGAGTGAAACTACGTAGGGTACCTACGTTTAAATCTGACAAGTCTGACAGTATCTCCCGCCCCGCCCAGGGCGGCAGGACTCATTTGATGATTTTACCACACCATAAAAAAGGTACCTATAACAAAAAAATAATTTTTAGTTAACAAATAGATTTTTTTTGTTTTGTTTACTACGCGGTTTTGTTTACTACGCGGTTTTGTTTACTAGGTGCTCAGATAGTTCTTAGGAGTGGTCCCGTTTTAAGTACCTAACTCTTGTTGTATGGCTGTCATTATTACCTAAGTGATCTAACGAACCTAGATACCTAATGTATCTAACCGTATCAAAGTTGGCGAATTCCAAGGCTTATTAAGCTTGATGACCAAACGTGTGACTTGACTTGACAAATTTGACTGCATAAACTCTTGTCACATGATTATTATTTTACTTGTTTCCTCATTAAATACCTACTATATTATTGCTTCTTATTGTTTTAGGACAAAAATAAGACAATCAAACAACAGGACCAAAGTACCATTATTGTCAGCCTACAAAAACATAATGTTATAACATGCCAGAAATTACCATCCGAAATGAACAAAAATGTTTGCAACGACATACATTTTGCTGTTGATATTACGATAGAAAAAATGCCCGATGGGCTGTTGATTACTGATGTTCTTAAGCTTCCTGAGCATGACGGATTTAAGATAATTACATGCGAATCGGCTCCAGCATCAACAATGGCTAGCGAAATGATTAATAATAACATTAACCAGCCCCAATCAGCACCTATGCCTGTAAATGTCAGTCCCATGTCTTTGTGTAGCAGTAAAATTAATTTAAGTGAAGATGACAACATAAAGAACCTTCTTCTGATTCTGGATCTTCATGGATTCCGGACATAGAAGAAGAAAATAGAATAAAAAGGAAAAGTAGTTCTTTAATAAACATCAATATTTCAGTGGCTAAGAAGAAAAAAAGAGTTAAGAGATTTGAACGAATAAACCCCATTTTGTCGAGTGACTCTGAAGATAAAACAGGTAATATTATAACAACTTGCGCTATTATTGAAACTCCTATTGACCAAGTCTCACCAGTTAACCGTGATAGAAGGATCATGGAACACAATGGAAAAATACTAATCAAACAAACTGGAAAAGAAATAAAGAGTTGGAGAAGAAACGAAAATGTTTGCCATATAAGAGTAAAACTGGAAAGTTTCTTGCAGCTAAACTACCTAAAAGTCCTAAATGCAGCCAAAATTGTCGCCAGAAATGCACAGAAAAGTTTACACAAAACGAGCGTGAGAAACTTTGCAACTCCTTTTGGTAAGCTGCAAAAAGAGTTTTTGCTTAAGCGCATCATCATTAAGCCAGTGCAGACTACAAGAAAGTCTGTACCGATCGAAAAACAAAGAAGTTCTAGCAGAGAATACGGTTTCTATAAAAATAAGACTGTATTTGAACGAGTATGCAAGAACTATTTTATGTTCACTCTTTGCATTTCTACTGGTCCAATCGAAACTGCAGTAAAACATGTGGATGATCATGGTGTATTTACAAAAATGGATAATCGTGGCAGACAAGCGCCTGCAAACAAAACTCCTGGAGAACAGATACAAGAGGTAAAAAATCACATTGAAAGTTTTCCTGTAATTGATTCCCATTACTGTAGAAAAAAACAACCAGGAAATACCAGGAATACTTAGAACCTACCTTATCAATATCAAAAATGTATGATTTGTACGTGCAGAAAATGAAAGAAAGCAATAAAGTGCCAGTAAAATTAAACATTTATAATAAAGTGTTTGGTACAGAATACAATTTAGCATTCTATCACACCAAGACGGATCAACGTAGCATTTGTAACAATTTCAAAAAGATAAAACTAATATAAATATTCAAAATGAGTATACTCAACATATAGAGCGAAAAAAGATGAATCATATTTGTGTGTCACCATGGACTTGCAAAGTCTACTGCAGATTCCATCGACTGCAGATAGTCTAATGTATTATTCCAGAAAATTAAATTTATATAATTTATCTATTTATGAGTTTAAACCTCCACGGAACGACGCTCACTGTATGATCTGGACGGAAATAAATCAGAATCTCCCCGAGGTTTTAACGCACGTCACCATTTATTCCGACACGTGCTCGGGACAAAACCGAAATCAGTACATAGCAGCATTTTTGCTGTACTTAGTACATACGCATGAGACAATCAAAGTATTAGAACAGAAGTATCTAGAAAGTGGTCATAGTTTTATGGAAGTAGATTCAATGCATAGTGCCATAGAAAAAGAAAAAATGTACACAGACACGTATTCTATAATAGATTGGAAGGGAATTATGCTACGGGCAAGATCAAAAAGACAAAATAAAAATTTTACTCCATATAATGTAACTGAATTATCATATCAAGACATGATTGATGTAAAAGCACTTGCTTCGAAAATAATTAAAAACATAACTATAGCGGAGAATGGGGAGAAAGTGTGCTGGTTGAAAATAAAATATCTTAGATTTGAATTACCTGGTTTTATTAAATACAGATACGATTACGATGGGCCATATAACTTACTAAATACTCTTTGTAAACCAGGGAGACCGACTAGGAGAACTCCAAACTCTGAAATGCCAAATATAAATACTGAAGATCTTCTCCGGGCATATAAACAATGTCTTCCTATAAAAAAACAAAAAAAGAAAGACCTTTTACAGCTCTGTAAGGAAAATATAATTCCTAAAGAGCTTCACGGCTGGTACGAAAGTTTACCATGTTCAAACGAAGACCAGGGTCCATCACGCTCCACTGATTCATCTGAAGTCGATGAATAAGCTTATTTTGGCCCCTTGCTCTACTTATTGCTGAAAACTAAACTAAACTTTTAAACCCTAACAGCATGAGTAAAATGATTTTACAATAGGGGTTTTACATTGTTAAATAAACGTAATGTTTATTTTTAGAGTCATGTTTTTTAATACATTTGTTATTTAATTTTAAATTATACTTTTTTGTGATGTGTTTGCTCTTGACTCTAGTCTTGGTCAGAGATGACAGAGACAAAGTCTACGATGGAGCGAGCTTACCCAGAAGGAGCCTGTTTACTCTAACTTTGAAGGGATTTACGCTTTGTTTGAATGAATGGGTACCTATGTTTATGTCTTTTTTACAAGTTTACATTTAAGTATTGATTAGGTACAGCCATTTCAATTGTTTTGAATTTAAATTATGTTTTATTTTGTTATGAAAGTATTTTAGTTCTAAGTAAATTGATATTAGAATAAGTTGTTGATTGGTGTACTCAATGTACCTCATTAGTGTCACATTATTTTTTGAGTTTTGAGTTTTATTTAAGTGTTGTGTTTTACTTACCTTATTACGAAATATTTTAGTTGAATTGAGTCGTTTGAAAGTTTTGTAGTGATTGCTGTACCTTTGTTTTGGTGTTAATTTTTTAGTTGAGTACTGACCTATGGCTTAGGTGCAAAAAATTTTAATTTTTTGAGTTTTAACACAGAATAGGATTATAGTACTGTTTTAATTATGTTTTGATTTGATACAAACTTATGTTTTTTAGTTCTAATTGATACCTATATTAAGTTTTTCATAGTTTTTTTACTTACTACTTAAGTACGTCTTTTATAATTAGGTCTGATTTTTAGAGCCATTATGTTATTTTTTGGGTTCAAATTATTTTCTGTTTTGATTTGAAAGAATACTTTAAGTTAATTTGTTTCCACTTGTTATAAATTGTTTATTTTTTTAAGTTTGTGGTAAGATAAGTATCTTATTACAACACACTTTTTCTAAATTTTATTGTACTTTTCTATTTCATCCTGAATATAACTTTATTAATATCATAAAACAACTTTTATTTTATATGAGACCAATAATAGTTAAAAAAATATCGAAGTAATAATAACGTACAAAGCCACAAAATTTTACATTTCAAAATATTTCGAGTTTGATAAATTCAATAAATGTATTTATTTCACCAAATTTTACTCTACCAAATGTATTTAGTTTGTAGGAAAACTAAATAAATAGCCGAAATAAGTAGATAATTGTAGTACGTTATAAATAACAGTTGTAGCAAAATTAAACAACTTGATTTTTTATGTGTTATTTAGTTATAGTTAAAGATTGAGTTCAGTTTGTTAAACCATAATGTAAAAGGTAATCAGGTCCACAAAATATCAAATTACCGACACTAAAATTGTCTCACATTTTTTAACAAATGTATATTAACTGAAAAAAAAACGCGTCGCGTTTATCTCAGAACTACAAAATCAGAGTTATTTAATTTTCCAACTACGGGAATCAGAGAATGAATGAAGAAGAATATTTATAATTTGAGAAAAAATAATATACCATCTTTAAACGTCAGTATTATGCATATAAAGAATCTTTAAGATAAGATCGTACTTCTTTTTAAAGGGGTAAATTGTATAACTTCCTTTAAACGTGTTAAAGTAAAGCAAATGAGTAATGTTATGTATTCAAAGATAAATAATGAGAAGATATTTTAAAGAAAGAAGATATTATAATATATTTACTTTTCTACTAGATCTGCTTTCCTTCCTCGTTAAGATGCGCCTCGCTTCTTTAGTTCAGCTTTTAATTCACATACCCGCCATGTCTAATACACAATGTAATAAATAATAATCCTTTTCCTTTTATTATACTAATTGAGATAAACACAAACCAAGCATGCGACTTTGACAGGTGAAAGATATGCTGGTGCCCTCTAGGAAAAGTTATTAAAGGCCAACCCCATTGTATTGTGACGCTTTCAAGCTTATTTTTAAGATAATCAATATGAGGCTGAAATAAGGAATTAGTTATGGTTGCGCGGAAATCCATTCGTATTTATTTTATTTGACGGTAGGCTTGCCAAATCGTTTATCCCTTTCCAAACGATAACATTCATACCCTCCTATCGACACATCGGGGTGGTGGGGTGGGAGGGGAGAGAAGATGATTCTAGAATATTACGCGATCATCGCAACCGAAGGAATAAAAAGGCACGCGCGGCCGACGCGCACTCTCTTCCCGTCCCGCTCGTCGTTGGAACCACACCGCTTAAGACAATAGTGTCATAGAAGGGCTATTGCCCACGCGCACCGCTAGTATAACCGCTTTAGCCTGGACGCAGTCGAGCTCCAAGAAACCCGCCTCACCTCGTGTGAGAAATAGTCGCGCACCGCACTCTCTCCCGACGCATCACCGGACAAGAAAGCATCTCTGAGGCCCCAGAGTGTCTTCCAGAAGTCGCACCGCAGCAACATAGTGCCCAAGCCGCATAGAAGCAACACCCCGGTGAGTGAACATTCCTAATCGTTCCTGCTTGATATAATTGTGTTTAATGGTTAATCCGCTCCAATTTCATTTTCTCCTAATCAAGCAGGATTCCTTTCATGGATTTGACAAATAATAGTTCGTTTTTAGGGAAGAGCGAGTGCATTGTATGGGAAACCGCGTGCTATAGTCGCCATTTTGTGTGAACGAAGAAGCATTACGCATATACAGTCCATTTTGGGTTTAATATCTCGCGTAATAGGTTTAAGGCTCGACCGGGGAATTGGACTTCGGTAACCTTAGGCTCGTCGCTCCACCAAGTTATGTTGTTAAGGTTAGGAGTAATACTGATTAACTGTATTTTAATAGAATTTACTTTGTCTCCTAATTCTACATATTTTAGAAATGCATGGTACGAGGGCTGCACTAAAAGTAACAGGAATGGAATATTTCCACTATTCCTGTCATATTAAAATCATTTTAATTGAAAACTCCTTGGTTTTAAAAATATAATACCATTTATTTTAAAAAAAAGATTCTCGGTCTTGTCACAAGGTTTTGTCAAACTTGTTTAGTCGTTGAAAAATGGAATTGACTCGAGAAAATTCAAGAGCGATGATTTATTATGACTTTCGAAGTGGTTTAACACAAAAACAGTGTGTTGACCGGATGATTTCTGCATTTGGTCATGAAGCCCCATCCAAAACCGCAATTTATCGCTGGTTTGCTTAATTTCAACGTGGACGTGTCAAGCTCAGTGATGATCCCCGTCAAGGTCGTCCAAAAACTGCAGTCACCCAAGAAAACGTTGATGCTGTGCGTAAGCTGATTGAGGAAGATCGACACGTGACATACCGTGAAATTCAGGCAACTTTAGACATTGGCATGAGTCAAATACAAATAATCTTCCATGAACAATTAGGTGTGTAAAAAAGTTATTTTCTCGATGGATACCGCATTCGCTCTGTGAAGAGCAAAATGCGGCTCGCGTTACTTGGTGCGTCAGAACTCTCGAAAGATTCCACGCAGGATCCTCAAATGCTGTATACAACATCGTATCAGGTGACGAATCCTGGATATACGCGTACGAACCCGAAACAAAAACAAGTCACGAGTTTGGGTGTTCGAAAATGAGTTAAAGCCAACAAAAATTGTTCGTTCACGGAGTGTTGCAAAAAAAATGGTGGCTACGTTTGTCCAGTACCAGCCTTCTTATATTTTGTTGCACGTGTCGGACTAGTACCAGTACTAGTCCGACACATGCAACAAAATATAAGAAGGCATTTTCTGGAACAAGAAAAGAAGAAACTTGCCTTCTTACACCATTGCAAGCATTGGCAATGTTTGTAGAAGCTGATTTAACTCGTCGACAGTACGAAATAATTTAGAAATACCAACAAAAAGTTCTTCCATTGTTACAGTTACTACTATTTAAATATTCAAACTCATTTTAAACTGCATGCAATTTTTTTTTAAATATCACATTCTAATCCATGACATTACTAGGTATGTCACTGCATTTATTACAAATATGTTGTTTTCGTTGTACAGATATCACAATGTGATCGTGTATGTCATGCCTGTTGGTTGAGGTTTAAAGGACAAGCTCTTTTAACTCAACAACAGGATGAAAGAAGAGGCTTAGAAGGTGATGAGACTCTTCACAGTCAAACAATTGAACAAGAAGTGGAACAGCCTGTTGATGCAGTTCAAGTTACAGAATTACAATCTCCCCCGTTTCTTGCAAGTACAGATGAAAGGGAATCGTCTGTAGAATCAGTTGCAGCTCCAGAGATTCATTCGCAACAATCTCAAACCCAACAATCAAGTAACATTACATTACATAATTATAAACGTGCTCCCAATACAGCGTCTCATTGTGCATTTTATGGGTGTGAAAATGAAAATCGGCGTACTGTGTCAGATGCACTGTGGGGTACCATTTTGTGCAACTACAATTTTTATATTCCCAAACTGGCAAGAGTATGCACAGACCATTTACATGGAAACAGTTGGAGTCCCTCCTGATTCCAGTGAAAACAGCATGAGCGATTTCACTGTTGAACAAGTTGATCATGTTTTTTCCTTTGTTCAAAAATACAAGCATTTTCTCGAATTTTCAAACATTTTCAATCATTACAAGAAATTGATGACAATTTATTTGCATTTTGGATTGGCTTGTCAAAATCTAAATTCCTTAATTTGTTAGAAGACCTTCTCCGACTATTGGGAAAACATAGGTGTATATTAGGTCTAGCTGCTGTATTGATAAAGATGACAGGTGATTCCGACTTAAGAATATCAACATTGCTAGAAGTTCCTCGCGCTACACTAGAGAGTTTGATGCAAACAGCACGAGAGATACTGCTACAGGATTTTGTTCCATGTAACCTCCGAATAAATCACTTGCCGAGAGAACAATTAACACGTTCACTGCCAACGCGGTCGATGTTGTGCGATGCTTTCATACGCTATCAAGCTAAGTAAAAATCCTCATTTCTATCTTTTTTACAGATTGTTTTTATTCATTATTTAGCCACATTATACGCTTAAATAACGTGTTATAATTAATAAACAATGATTTTGACCCTATATTATTAGTTATTACGCAACGCACAACATTGACTCCCATTGCCTCAGCGAACGTAATATGGAAAATCCGTTAAATAGAGTCGCGCAGTCATGTTGCAGCCCCACCGCCGCCAGCGACGCACTCCCCGCGCATCCGCTGCTCGTGTCTCGTTGCGCTCGCATTCGTGATTTCCGATTAGTGACGTGCACATGACGTTGTGAATTCGGCTGATTGTTTACGAGGTTTTTTACTATAATTGTTATGGACAATATGGATAGTTTTGACGACTTTGACATAACGCAAGAATATATAACACAGATCGAAAACGTCGAGTTCGATTTGTTGAATAGAAGTCTCCATTTAAGTTCCGACGAAGAAAATAATATATAATAGCCTACTCATTCGAAGCGACGTCTAATCATACCGTCTGATAGCGAAGACAGTGATGCTCAAACCAATCGTAACATCCAAGACAGACAGACGTTCGCCGCCTTCAACGTGCTTATTGCTTTTACTGAGTATCCTTCCGCATTGTGAAATGCAGCTCAGCTTGCGCATGGCCATGACAAACAAATGCCCAGCTTATTTTTTTGCGCTTATGGTGACAGACGAGGTACATATACATACATAAACACTCACGCCTGTCACCCAGAGGGGTAGGCAGAGACTACAGACTTCCATTTAGCACGATCCTGACATACCTCTCTCGGCTCTTCCACATCCATATACCTACGCATACATGCTCGTCGGTTAAGGGTACTCTTAATTTGGCCCATTTTTAGTATATCGCCAATTTGGTCGACAAACTTCCGCCTAGGACGTCCCTTTCCGACTCTTCCATTCACTTCTGCAACATATATTTGATTTGTCAGTCTTTCCGCATTCATTCTTTCTACATGACCAAACTACCGAAGCATTTCTTTCTTAATCCTGGCGACTGCATTATCTTGCAAACCACACTCTTCTTTTATCACACAGTTTCTCACCCTGTCACTCAGATTCAGCCCTAACATACTCCTTAGCGACCGCATTTCTACTGCATTTATTCTACTGTAATGCTTCTTCTGCCACACCCAACTTTCACTACCATATGTTAAAGTAGGGACTAATACAGTATTGTGAATTGCCATATGTGCCTTTTTGACACATTCTGACTTTTCACAATAGAGTGTAGAACCCCATTTACTTTATTTCCTGCATTCACTCGTCGTTCAATATCCTTATCCTATCTCCCATTCCTGCTGAATACACATCCTAAATATACGAACTCATCCACTTGCTCAATTAACTCTCCTTCTATTCTATGAATAGAAGAACGGACGAGGTCTTAAATAAAATTATTTTATGCACTAATGTCTACGCCTTGAATAGAATAACAATGTCTAATGAAGCTTCGAAAGCAGCGCGCATTCGCGGCTGGTTCCCTACTAACCTGATTGAAATGAAAAAATTCTTTGGGCTGATTTTATACATGGGTATAGTTAGGCTTCCGAAAACAGCTGATTACTGGACCACAGATAAAATCATTGGAAAGCAGTATCCGCGAACCATTATGTCTCGCAATAGATTTGAGCTACTATTCGCAATGCTTCATTTTTCACAAGAATACTACCGATCGCTTACACCGCGTTAGAGACTTGGTGGATGAATGCAAATTTAAAAAAATCGTACACGCCTGGCGAAGATTTATGTATAGATGAAAATGTGGTTCCCTTTCGCGGGCAAATTATATTCCGGCAATGCAACAAGCAAAAACGCCATAAGTATGGGATTAAGTTATTTAAACTATGTAACTTGCGTGGATACACATACAAAATTAGCATTTATGGTGGAAAACAGAATGATGACGTTAATACTACGCCTACCAAGGTTGTTATGGCGCTATGCGATGATTTACTAAGTAAAGGACATACTCTGTATACCGACAATTGGTACACAAGCGTTGTATTAGCAAGAGAACTTTTGAAGAACGAGACGCAATTTGTTGGCACTTTGAGAAAGAATCGCAAGTATTTTCCCAAAGAAATTGTATCAACAAAATTGAAGCAAGGGCAATATATAGCAAAAGAGAGCAACGATGGAATCACTGTAATGAGATGGAGGAATAAGCGAGATGTATTGGTACTGCTAATATTGAATTTCCCCGTCTAGAATACAGTGAATTAATATTATTCGCCTTGAAAACGTACCAAATTCGCCAAGCGCGTTCATATTATGGTGAACACGTACGTTTCCATGGCGGATACAGGATAGAAGTTTGTCAAGATACTAATAATATTGGTTGGGCTGAAAAGTTCGTATCGTCTCTATGAGATGGCGCCACTAGAATAAAATCCATATCATTTTTAGGTAGTACCAACCTTCAAAAGAAACGTTTATAAATTTGACAGCTGTCTGATTATTAGTTTGTGAGATACAGCATTTTGAGTGAAGCAACTTTTATTTTGAAAAAAATGGATAAAAAGGAATTTCGTGTTTTAATGAAACACTTTTTTTTGATGAAAAAAAGTGCTGCTAATACCAAAAAGTGGCTTGATGAGTGTTATCCGGACTCTGCGCCGGGCGAAGCAACCATTCGTAAGTGGTTTGCCAAATTCCGTACAGGCCATATGAGCACCGAAGACGATGAACGCAGTGGACGTCCAAAAGAGGCTGTTACGGACGAAAACATAAAAAAATCCACAAAATGATTTTGGAAGATCGTAAATTGAGGTTGATTTGTATAGCCGGCACTCTAAAGATATCAAAGGAACGTGTTGGATATATCGTTCATGAATATTTGGGTATGCGAAAGCTATGTGCAAAGTGGGTGCCGCACGAGCTCACAATCGACCAAAAACAAGAACGTGTCGATGCTTCAGAGCAATGTTTGGAGCTGTTCAACCGCAATAGAAGTGAATTTTTGCGTCGATATGTGACAATCGATGAAACATGGATCCACCACTACACTCCGGAGTCCAGTCGGCAGTCATCTGAATGGACTGCACGCGATGAACCGAATCCAAAGCGTGGAAAAACTCAACAGTCGGCCGGTAAAGTTATGGCGTCCGTATTTTGGGATGCACATGGAATAATTTTCATCAACTATCTTGGAAAGGGAAAAACCATCAACAGCGATATTATATAGCGTTATTGGAGCGTTTGAAGGACGAAATCGCGAAAAAACGGCCCCATTTGAAGAAGAAGAAAGTGTTGTTTCATCAAGACAATGCGTCGTGTCACAAATCGATGAAAACGATGGCAAAATTGCATGAATTGGGCTTCGAATTGCTTCCGCATCCACCGTATTCTCCAGATTTGGCCCCCAGCGACTTTTTCCTGTTCTCAGATCTCAAGAGAATGCTCGCTGGAAAGAAATTTGAAGCCGATGAGGAAGTAATCGCCGAAACAGAGGCCTATTTTGAGGCTAAACACAAATCGTACTACAAAAATGGTATTGAAAAGTTGGAAGATCGCTATAATCGGTGTATCGCCCTCGATGGCAACTATGTTGATTAATAAAATCGAATTTTGCCAAAAAATGTGTTTTTCTATAAAACGATACGAACTTTTCAGCCCAACTGTTATACCTGAGTTAGGCAGTGGGGAAAATTCACTTATAAAAGGGAAAATAAAATCCAGAGATATCTCAAGACGTCAGTACTATGTGTACATTTTGATTGCAAATGGTGTTGATGGACGAAAAGGCATTGTAGAGTAGCAACTGCATTGTAGGACGTCGCACTGTAGGTTGTTGTGCGCATATTATGACAATGGTGTGGTACTTGGGTTGGACCAGGCATGAAACCAATATTGAGCCTCCAGCGGCATTTTTAGATGAAGTGGTCATACGAGAAGACAATGAATAATAAATATAAATCAAATCGTGTTTTTTTGTTCTCGCCAAAAACATGTAGAAAAGGTAGCTCTTTTTGTTATCTATTAATGTTGTGATGGCCCAGAGGTTACACCTCGCCTCTCATGCACGAGGCTGTGAGTTCAAATTCGGACAAGTACAAATGTGTGTCTTTCAATGCGTAGGTACGTATTTTCTAAGTTTATCTTCTAGCCTTAGCCCCTTCAGGGCTCAGGCTCGGCCCACATAGGCCACCTCAGGGACATCCTCGGCCCCATATGAGACTTTCTCTATCTCAGCCTGCGCCGCTCCCAATTAACCCTTGGGGCCCTAAGAAAACAAACATCCGGCGGCCCTCCGCCGCCCCACAAAAACATGCAGACCCTATAGTCGACGACTTAAACCTAGTGTCTAACATTAT